AAAGGCACGGCTACCTTTCAAGATGGCGCAGGTATCCGTGAAGGAGACTATTACATCAACACTTTTGAATAAATAATTAGATCTGAAATCTTAAATGTTCCATTTGACTKATGCGTCTGGAATGGCGTATTTAGTCTTTTTCGAAATAAAGAGAGTGACTTCCAATTTTATTTTTCAATTTTAATACAAATGTGACAAACGTTTTTTAAATAAGTTGTATTTTTGCATAGTATAAGGTTGTTTTGAGAAAGTACGTYCGAACAGAACTATAGGTATTCAATATTGACAAAGGCTGAGCCCAGACWAGGGCCGAGGGCCGAGCTCAGACAAAGATCTATTAGTGGTTTTGTTCTTTTAACTCCTAAACAAAAAAGGACTTGACGTTAAATACCCTTTCCGGATTTTCAAAAAGGGACTAGTGTCATTTCGTATAGCAAAATATGATTGGAGTTGTAGTACTCACACTCCTCGCTTTAAAAACTTTCCCTATACAAGCCTTGTTTGTGCTTTCTTTGTAGAAACGGCTCAACTACCTCTATTTTTGCAATAAAAAAGCTAACATTCTTTGAAAATGGCAACTCTCATCGGCTCGGACAGCAATTCCCATCATGCCTTGTTGCACAAAATAGCGTTGCAGCACATTGCCCAGAAAAAAGCAAACATGACGAAGGTCTTCATTTAACGGTGCATACAATTTTTTTTTACTAACGAAGGGTCATCCTCAACAATATGGAACACGTCGTGAATTATAACAAGATAATATTGAATTTTCATTCAGATTCTCTCAAACAACCTTCTTTAAACGTGTGTGTATTGAAGTAGAAATTGTTGTAAAACATTGGCAATRATATTGAGAATTTAGTTGAAGTAGAAAATCGGGTGTGCTTACTCCCGCCCACGTGTATCCGGATAGTTTTGAGTCCGCAAATTGCTATTCTGCAGGCGTCCCGGATTGAACGATTATTTGTGAATGCTTATTATCTACACAGAGACGTTTGCGGATTCAGACATATCCAGATAAGGAGCCGCATCGGAAAAACCACAGCACTACGGTATTACAATCCTCTGAAAACGAATCCAGTGCGTAATTTTTCGCTATCTTGTCCGGCTATATATTTTGTTGGGTTTTTAATGTTTACATTTTTAAAGTTCTTATAAATTGTGTGATTTAAGGCCATTCAGAAAAATCACAATGGTTGGGCTGCATGTGGAATAACCAGCCAATTTGAATAGCTTTTCGCAGCCTTTTTTGGATTCTTTTTATTGTCTATTTCTTCATCGCCATGTCATTTCGTCCAGGTCCCTCCTGTAATTGACCACAGGAAGCCCATTACGAAGTCTTTTGTATCTAATAATTATTTCTAATTTCTATCCGTCCATTTATAGCAACCTATCTACTTGTCCTACTGAGGGTCCCCGCGATCATGTGTGTCTAAATGCTTATCCAAAGCATGAAGATAAGGAAACTCCTTTCCACAATACACACAAACRAAGGCTTCCTGCCTCATATGAATCCGCATATGTCTAGTAACGGTAGCACTCTGTGCAAACGATCGACCGCAATATTTACAAATGTATGGCTTCTCTTTAGTGTGTGACAACTCGTGTTTGTTACGCGTCGAAGACTGTGCAAACTTCCTTTTGCAGAACTTGCAATTGAACGGCTTTTGGCCCGTGTGTGTTCTGATGTGATTGGCCAGTGTTGTTGTCTGTGCAAAGCGTTTTTTGCAAATGATGCATTCGAATGGGCGATCACCRGTATGGGTTCTGAGATGAGCTGTCAAAACTCCTGACTGGGCGAAACGTTTGCCGCAGAACTGGCACTTGAATGGCTTCTGACCAGTGTGCGTTCTCACGTGATTGTTCAAGCTTGACAAATGTGTAAATTCGCGGTTGCAGTGAACGCAAACGTAATTCTTTGAATTGACTTGGTAGTGCTCTTGGAACGACSCTTCTTTGTAATTGTAATGCTCCATGTTTTTCTCTTGGCTTTCTTCAATGGAGGTGGGTGGACTTTTCGGGGAGCATGCATTTTTTTGAAGTTGATCAGMATTTGTGTCAACTTCCAACGCATTTTGCCCTTTTTGCTCTTTTGGGAAATCTCTATCGTCGATCTCATTKTTTGGTTGGACTTTTTTCTCGTCTTTGTTTTTGACGTGATGGTGTTTCTGGTTGGTGTTTTTATRTTGCTCTTCAGCGACCTTTTCACTTCTTTCTTCCGATAAACCGTCCCTCTGTTGTTCTTCAGCYAGTTCTTCAACTTCAATTATCGTTTCGTCTTGAGCTACGAAGTGTTGTTCTCCACCTTCAATGTTCCCCAAGTGYCCGGCTCTTTTATAGTACTTAGAATGGTAGATTTCATACACGTCTGTGTTGCTTTTTCTTTTTCTGTCTTCTTTGGTTTGCGTAGTCGATGTATGTTCTGGTTTGTGWGGACTCGTGATGGGAGTTGACTTAAAGCAATTATCAGACGATATGTCAACAACAATTGGCASCGCTGGAAAGCCTCGATATGCTGGCTGTACACAGTAACKGCGTTGGTTCTTTGTAATGTGGTCTTCTTCATACAATCCTGTTCTTTTAATATTTGGGTGACGTGTGAAATTTTCATCACATAATTTGGCATCGTCCATCTCCGATGRCTCATCATCAGGACAAACTCTTGGTGAAAAGCTAAGTGGACTTTGTGGWGGTGATTTGAAATGACCTCTTTCGTTAGAAAGACTAAAGCACTCGATAATCACTGGGGCAGATTCTCCYTTATTTATTAAAGATCGTGCCTCATTGTCAGATATCACGTGACTTCCATATTTGGTGTTATTGATGACGTTATTGAGCAGATGCGGTGCAACCTTGATGGGATGATGGGGCACTCGGAAAGCTCCATTTTGATTGGATAATGTGTCATCGCTGTGACACCTTCCGTTTTCTAAAAAACAAGTTTTGTGGGGATAGCCGACTGCGTTACCATAGTAACASTCTAAACATCCATTGACGTCATCACGCATCATTTCTATTGATGGCCATGATTGGTGAGGAGAGAAATCTATGATCTCGGAGTAGGGAAGTTTAACTTGATTTGTTATTAAACAGGCACTGCAATGTGGACGACGATGTCCAGTATTTGGAGGTACATCATCCAATCTATTMAAATAAGGCCTTCTATCCCTGTTTACATGGAGATGACCTTTGATGGATTCTTCGAAATACTCTGAATTTCTGAATTCTTGAAGGTCCTCTTTCTTATATCTCTTGTTGTCCCTGGGTTTTTGCATATCGTTACTAYTGGATTCTTGAAAATGGTGATTTCGTGTTTCTTGGCGATCATTCCTAGATTCTCCATCGTTCCTGGATTCCTGGAAATGGTCATTCCTGCATTCTTGAAAGTTGCCATTCTTGGATTCTTGAAGATAATTATTGCTACCTTCTCTGAAATTAGCGTTTTTCAAATCTTGGAGGTTGCCTTTCCTTGATTCTTTCACGGGAACTTGACAGGAATAAAGATGGGCATTCCTGTAGGACTGGAAAGGGTGACTATTCCTGTGTGCTTTGACTTCATCATGGCCAGGGTGTGTCAAATATTTTCTCGGACGTCCACGTTTTCGATGCCAGTGGACGTGAYTCCCGTTTCGTAGCTGTCCAGTCAACAAAGGTAATGTTGAAGGATGGAACATTTCCTTCCTTGGCCTTGGTAAAGCGTTCAAGCTTTGATAGGTGCTAGTCGTGGAGTTGCTTGGTGAAGAAAAGCAAGTGTACTTTGACGGGGAATTCGTTGCTATGGTATCCATGCTTTCGTCTGCTTGTACCTAAAAAGTCGGAAAAGATCATTAATGCTCGCTTTATTTTCTGGTTACTTTCTGGTTATTTTTATTTTTTCTGGTTATTTTCTTTATTTTCTGGGAACTTCAGATTTGACAACGAGTACGAGATTGAGTACGAGTACGAGTTTTAAAATTGGCCTTAAGTATGCTATTAATCATGAATTGCATTCCTGCGAGTAGATTGAAAGATCAAAGAAATAAAAACATGAAGTGGATTGAAATCCGGTATGGACAACACAACAAAAAGCTGGTTTGAAAACTCGTACTCGTACTCAATCTCGTACTCGTTGCCAAATCTGAAGTTCCCTAAGCTTGTAAGACCATCCCTGCACATTATTATAAACATATCGATCAAATATCAGGTTTTCTCTAATGTGGAAGACATCATATATCTTTGACATGACATTGTGAAGATATCGCTATTGGCATAGTAACAGTACTAACAGAGTATAACTCGCTGCCCTCACTCGTGACATATCAAATGAACATCCTCGAAGATAAAATCCGATTCCATGGGTGATTATTTTAAAACTGTCCTTTTAAGCTTCTTGGATTTCCGAAATCGTTCTCAACCGGCTATATCACAGCGGGCCTTCTATAACAGGTTGACCAACCCGCTGRAAACGGTTGGTGATCTACAAAGATGTAATAAAAATGCTAGCGGGCTGCTCTAATATAGACTGTAACTTAAAAGTGTAACTTTCAGCCATGGAAACATTCCGATCTCAACCTGTGAGAAGCACAAGTTTTTAGGGAGCGCCATAAAAAATTAACGCAACGATAAGCTTTAAAATTATCGCAATATCCGCTGGTAAATTGTTGCACCACCTTGGCTTTATATTGTGACTTGCACTGGAATTTGYCTTATGTCCATAGAGGATTTTGCAAATAAATGATGTAGAAGTCATGGAAGTTAAATTTCGACCTTAACCTTGGARTATAAAGTTGCTTGGGAAACGCCAAAACTGCGAACAGAATATTATTAATTACTCTGCTTTAAGAATGTCGGGTTTTTTTTGCTGGTAAATTATTGCAGTTATAATGTAATATACTGTTGAATTGCAGAACGTCTGTGAATTGTTATTACGATTTTTACGAGTTATGGAAACTCAATTTCGGGTGTGCTTGAAATCGAATATCTGATATTCTACCGCAAAAACTCTCCAAATTCAAAGGCGGTTTTCCCTTTATTTACATAAAACTACTTAATCRAAAAAATTCTTTATCAAGTTGAAAGATTTTTGAAASTAAAGAACTGTTTTCTTATTCTGTTTACCGGTCAAGACTGCGCCCCAAGGCAAAACTACACGTCGCAAACATAATTATAATTTTGAAATAGATATATCTATGGTCAGTATAATTGTCACTGAAAAAATAGTATAGCAATAYGTAGTATTTACTGATTCGTTACAGTGAAGTTTGCGAAATTAAAGTTAAACGTATTCGAGTTACTCGAGTAGCACAATKACTCTCCATGTTTTGAGTTGATATACTAAAGTCTAGACTCTGTTCTTTGTTAGAAAGATCATTAGCTACGATCGTTTGATGTAGTAGGGGAGCCATCTATTTGTTCTTCTTTGCGGTAGAAGATATTGCCTGAGGGTTCTCAGCGGTTGAAAATATTAAAATCATCCCGAATAACGTATAGATCAGYCCGACGTTAAAGTTAACTCGTCTSTAAACATGTCTGAAGAACGTACGAGTCAACTCGATTCTTTTATTAAARTAATATTTTACCAGTTCGTACCGAGTTGACTCGTGCATAMTTTAGAGTYGRGTTAACTCGTACGAGTTAACTTAAATGTCGAGTTGACTTAAGCGTCGAGTTGATTTATTAACTTTTCCTTTGTTATCTTTTAATACATGTAACTGCCTGTGAAAGGTACAAGGTCGATTTTTGACCTTGCGCCATACCCTAGCGCCCTTCTTTGCAAAGGTAGAATGACTGCAGAGGGCCACGTGGTTTATTGTTYCGTCAACAACATTTGAACATTCATCTGTAACTACTTAAGAATAAGTAAGTGATAAGTCTTGAGTTTTGGAAGCTTTTTTAATAGAAAATTAAAAAAACACTTAGCTTTATGAGTTTATGAAGAACATGCAACAATGACTCTAGTAGACTCACGACAAGTTATCCTCTTAACTATCATCAATTTATCCTTCTATTTTATTGGTATCATATTTTATKTCTTAGATTGATTCTTCGCTGTTTTCTTTTAGGGTTTTTTTTTTACTTATTTTTCCCCTTGGGGATGGAGGGAGTGATAGGGAGAGGCTGAGAGACGAAACAGTCTTCGCCAAAAGATTTCATCTACAACATCTTTTAAGGCCTAAAAAAACTAAATCAACTACTAACAAAGGAAAAAAAACATCCCCATACTCTAATAATCCATTTTTTCTCGATGAATATCATACAAAAGTAAAACGCTTTTGATAATGAAGTTTTTTTCAAAACAATTTGTAAGTAAGCCAACAATTTTCATTTTTCTCGATAGGCCGGCATTTTTCGAATAAGTCCTATTCTTCTTGCATAAATTTACTTTAATTTTCTTGAAACGTTATCCGAGAATCTGCAATTATAACAAAACATAAACTATCTGTAATCATAGCCTTGGGAGATATATAGTTTTTCTCTTCTTTTTGGCAATTGGGGGTTAAACGTGGTTTGGAACCTTGTGGAAMTTTGTAAAGGAAGTAKTASGAATATTGTTATTCCAAAGGTTCGAACTTTTGCCACTATGTGAGTCCAAGGGAGACMAAATTCTTGATTAAATTTGGACCCAAATTGCACTCATGCAAAGATTCTAATGACAGCTTTTGCATCAATCTTTGTTAGAGGTATAAAGTTTTGTTTCTGTAAACAGTGGGGTTTCAAATTATTGGCTTTCGAAGCTAGTAGACTAGAAAAGAAAGAGAGGCGAAGTCCACGCATATCATTGCGCAACAAAAGTAACTTTTGTTTTMAGCACTGTTGAATTCAAATATGCTGTGCTCCGTTAAATGGGAATTTAATTTCTTCTCTGTTTTTTTTTGTAATTAATGAAGGAATCTTTACTCTTCGAATATCATAAAATATACTTGGAGCTTTAATATCATAGGAAGTCTGGCTGACTGATGTCTGTTGTTTTCCTTGTTATTGTTACAGTGCGGCGCGCTGGCGTGAGTTTCATTGAAATTACGAGTTTGATATATTTATTTTGGCTTCAAGTAGTCACGAAATGCTAAAAGTCCATCTTTGACTAAGATAGTTGACAATTAAAGTTGCCTTTTGTGTTAAAGACCTATTCAAACTTTAGCTTATAGCTCAATATATTTTTTTCATTAATACTGAGTCGTTTCTTGTTACCCAATTATTGGTTGTTTTGACTATGAAAAGTTTAGGGAAAACTTATTGAAGTGTCTTTTTAGCAGCCTAAGTTACTGCATTTTAAAACAAACTTTCGTTTAGGAAGAAGATAGTGCAACTTTTCCACGACGTTTCGCTGTACTTCCTTCGTAAGTGGCTACAATTCAGAAATCTTTCACTACATCTTTTCCAAGTGAAAACCAATAAAAAGTTGAGATTTTCAATTTTGTTTATTCTCGTTTCATGGTGATTTGCTACGAGGAGTAAGAATTCTTTACGATTGTTGATTTTTTTATGGGTAGACGCAGTTGGTGTCATATCTACTTAGAACTCGACAAAGAAAAAACAACTTGGCGCAGTAACAAGACAATACGGATTGATTAGTATTCAGCGAAAATCTTAATATAAACAACCAAAGAATTCTATATTTTCGACAATAATTGTTGTATTCGGTGATAMAATTGATCTCGTCTGTTTTTACACAYAGTTTCATAGTGAATAGTACCGCACAAACATGCTCCTTGRAGCAAACTTTGCAGGCTCAATGAAAGATGATGAAAAAATTATTTGAAAATCAATAAACGTGCTCGATTATGATAGTTTTCAGATTAAAAGGTAGAGTATTCCTTTTATTATTTCTCATTAGTAAACCTTCTCCACTATCCTTTTCAACTCATTTTAAAATAATTAAGTCGAAGTAGGCGAAGGAGGTGTGTTTGAGCTTGGGGCGTAATAGTGTGAAATCTTATTGTGAAATTAAGTAGTACAAGTTGAATTATCAATGGGTTTAAGCCACGGCCTACTATCTCCAAAACGAGAAATATTGTATCCTTTAAACTTTCAAGCTATTGAATGTTGTTGGATGCAAAGCACAAAGAATGTTGGRTGGAGAATGGCAAACATTCAGCTAAATAAACATTTCTTTTGTTATCTTGTTTGATTTGTGATATTTAAAGCCGTTTATCCACCAAGAATTTGGTTAATAATCGAAAAATATTGGTTTGTTCTACAATAATGTTAAATGGTGGATTATAAAACATGTTTTATTTGTCTGAAGTTGATTGTATATGCGGACTACTTTCAGATTAATTTTTTCCGACCTATGTCTCAATATACAACTCTACTAAACTCTTTGAAAGTTTTGAAAGGACTGGAAAATTGGGCGCAGCAAATTTCTCACGATCATCATTCACTTTCGAGCAATTTTTCAGCCTAAAACAACCAATGTCAATATCGAAATCTACCTCAAAAGGCTTCGTGTTGTTTTTTTTTTCCTCTATAAGTTTTGAAAAGAAGTTGGACATTTCGAAAACAACTGTGGATTTAGTAATTAGCGTAGGAAAKTAATAATGCCTATCTCTTCCTAGCTTGAAATTTGAAACAATAAAGTCTAGTAGGTAGTTTAGGTGGCATTGTCAGTCTCCTTCGTGGTACCTCAAAAGTCATCAAAAATGGTTTCGCAACTACTCGGCCGCATTTCATTAACAACATCAAATATTCTCAGGTGCGCAAGGGATTTCAAATGTAAAACTTTTGGAACAATTTCAACTTTAAAACCTTAAGGGAAAAAATCAGTTTTTGGAAGACTTTCAAATTTTCATTTTTCTAGCTGTTTCACAACGATTAACGCTTTTGTTCAGCTCGACGGCTGATGGCTCAGAGTTGAGTATTGATTGGCTGAAAATCTTATTGCTTCGGGGGGAACACATCACTTGGTGTTGTAATGAGCTACTAGGTGAATTCGTTAGCCGTTGTCTAGTGAGAATGCTAATTATTTGTAGGGAARCCAGTGTTGAATTGACTAAATTTCTCAMAAATTTCGTCTGAACAGTGCAAAAATCCCTACCAATAGTACCCTACTRATGCGTGCCCTAGAAATCGCGTGATTTTGTTACTTTTKGTCTGAACTCTGGAAATATTTTCCTGTTGTCCGAATGAGACATATAGCTGGTAAATTTGACGTGTAGTTTTAGATAAATGTTTGCGAGTTTTCAAACTGTCTGCTTTCTTGTAATGTTACCGACACGTTCAATCTTCGTTTCAAGTATCATTGCCGCTAATGACTTTCAATAGTCTTTGAGACTTGACTAAAAGAAATAATCAAGGGTTTATTTAATTTATATATTTATTCTAACGAAGTTTTTGAATGGAATTGCGTCTTTTTTAAATGTAGAAATTCAAGAAAAGACAGCCACTTTTTTCTACCAAAGGTGAAACCATTTGCAAAACACTGATMGCACCGTCAGTCGCGACAAGTTTCTTCGACCGTAACTGGTGTTGAACTCACTTCGTACGACAAGTCTCTAACAAGTCGTTATTTTCTCAAAGGTTTAAGCTGCAATTTTTGTTGTTGTTGTCTGTTAATGTTGAAGCGGTAGCACTCTAGCTGCTGGTATAGCGCGCATATAGAGAAAACAGAATTAAGTGACCGCACGCTCATTGACACATCCAACAGCAACGAGAAACGGTGATGAATGCAAATCAATGGCTCCAACAGAACTCGATGATTATTATTTCCCAATCAAAATTTGAAACATTTTCAGTTCAGCGCAGCGAGCTACAGTGAAGCGCGCGTACCTTGAAAATTACTTGTACTTGCGGAGAGTTCGACGAAACTCTTAGTGCTGTTGTTAAAGGTGTCTTGTTTGTCTCGCWGGCGTCTCGGTTAGTGAGCCAGATTCATAGTGTGAGCATTCCAGACGACCTCATGCGATATTCATCAAAAATTAAATGATTCGTATCGTAAGTCAACAAAACTATTACAATTCGAGCAGTTGTTCCTGTTGTTTGGGTAAACCAACCAATCAGCGCTAAGCAGTTTTATTGTATGGTGACGTGACCAAGGTTATGCAACAACAACTGCTATATTATTCGTAAAGCTAATGTTTATATAGCGAGCGTTTACAATCCCAGAGCTGCGCCAGGGATAGAGAGATAGTATCTCTCTCGCCCTGGCGGTGCACATCAAATCACTCGGAAAACTCTGTTTGTTTGCTCGTTCGTTCATGTCTTCACATTYTTTTCTTTTCGTTTTTTTCTTTTTTTCATCGAAATGTTTAATTTCTTTGTTAATTTCTTTCATTTTTTTGCCATTTCTTTCATCCATTCATTTATAATTCATCCATCCATCAAAGCAGCCATTTCATCAATCATTTGCCTGTGTTTTAGCATTGAAGAATCTATTGCAGTGGTTTCTCGTTGACACTTTATTTGAAGAATACTGCGGAACATCRACAATAAAAAAGKCCATCTCCAGGGGTCACRCTAAAATTTACAACCCTAAATCGCACATTAAAGTGAGTCGCTCAAATTTCTGCACCTTCTCCGGGACTCAAAAGTCTCTACGACTCGATCAAAATCGTCAAAAATCTCTCAAAATCGCTTTGAATGTTTAAGAAGTTYTAAAGCAATATTTCCTAAAATCGCACAGTTCGCTGAAAGTCACGGCTACTTTGTTCCCGGAGGAGTATCTGATTGCTTTCAACACTCCTAAGTCTATACAGTTCCTTAAGACCTTGTGTGTTTACAACGAAATATAGTACGCTCTTCAAACAATCAAATCGCACACAAGAACACAGAAATCCTTGATAAAAAATTGGCAGAATTAAAAAAAAACACTTGTTCTTTCCTTTCCTCTCTTCGCCATCATTTACATTTTGACGCGACTTCAGAAGACGAAAAGTCCCCAAATTATTAAATTGAATTAATTGGCTTTTTGGCAGCGTGTTGCAGCAGTTGCTTTTCATACAGAAGACGAATTAGACTAATTTAAATCATTTAAGGTGACTCTCTCTCCGATTAAATCGATCTCAAGCGTGCAAAAAAACATGGAAATCGAGATGCTTTGACTAATAAAAATTCCGCTCAATTTTAACTGCATTTGTTAAAATTGGTGTATTGAATAAGAATCGGCGTGTCTACGTGTCAGTCTCTCGTCGCGTTTAATTTATGAATACTTTAGAGTGTTTCGGGATCCTTTTGAAAGGTTTCAAAGGTTTCCTCATTCGGTAAATCTGACACAGAGGACTTATTTACCAGAATGGTGAAACACTAGGGTTGCACAGCTAAAGCACTCAAAGTGGTTAGCAAACGATATTATATAATACACGTTAGGACTCGTGCGCCACTATGTAAGACTGATACGTTTTGTTGCGTTTACGTAGCGTCGTAACCTTGTTAGCAAACGATATTATATAATACACGTTAGGACTCGTGCGTCACTACGTAAGACTGATACGTTTTTGTTGCGTTTACGTAGCGTCGTAAATCTTGTTAGCAAACGATATTATATAATACACGTTAGGACTCGTGCGCCACTACGTAAGACTGATACGTTTTTGTTGCGTTTACGTAGCGTCGTAACCTTTGAAAAGTAGAACATACCGGCAAAACGCAGCCAAAACGCATAAATGTAGATCAGTTGAAAGAAGCTCAGTCGTTCTCTCGGTTGTTTTCTTATCGTTTTTGTTCGTACTAAGGGAACTGCAGAGGAACCCTGTATTACGGCCACAAGCTTAATCCGGCCACCCCGTCACCCATACTTTTTTCTGCTTGGTTAATACGGTCATCCGGTTAATACGGACATTTTTCTATTAAATTCTGAATAAGCAATGCTTAAAACAATTAAAATAAAGTCTGCGCTTCTATTTAATTAGATATTTCAATTTTTCACGGGTTAGGTGCAATAACTCCAAGACAGCGTTCGCGATATGACCATCTTTGTCTGTCAATCAAATCTACCCATGCCGTGCTACAGTGATTCATACATCGATCTGGTCATGTGCAAACAATTTGGTTTGGCGAGACGCTGGCTCGACGTATGAATAGGGGCTTGTGTATACTATCACAGATAATGAAAGTCGACTGGGAGAGCGATTTCGATTGCCTCCTACTGCGGATGTCAAGCACAGTATTACGCAACTCAATAGAAACAAAAACCTCAAAACCGTGGAGCAGAAACTATAATATTTCGAAATACCAACAAATCTAGAAATAATATACCATAAATTCTAGTGCCGATAGAATAGGCCGTTTGCATTATGACGTAGCTTTACTACAACAACCAGAGAGCCTTGCGCATTTTCATTGTTATTCACATTGTTAGTCAAACAATTGGCACTAATTGCATTACAAAAGAAAGTTGGCAAAGCATTCTGGTAGTTGTAGTAAATGACGCCATAATGTAAATCGCCTATTAAGTCTGTGAAACAAAAACTGAAAAATAAATTTTAGAATAGAATAGCAATCAAAACAATGCCCAATGCCATCGAAAATCATTCTGAATTCTTCTGTATCGTTTATTGGGTTAAATAAACCTCAAATACACTGAGCGTGTACGACGTTACGCGACTTTTATGCGATTCAGTAGTAACATTTATTGGGATTTCGTGCGATTAAGCGCGATTTTAGGCGACTTGTGCGAATTTTAGAACCAGGACTCATCCCCCTGGCTCTAGTCGTAATTTTTGTTAATGGCACCGAATAGACGTTATTGAAGCATTCACAGTCCAATATCACTGATTTTGATAGTGTCTGCTGGTGGTAGAGTGAGGCTCGTTAGACTAGATACATTTGACACCTTCGTGGTCGCCATTTATCCAATGCTGATACCTGAAAACCATAGAAAAATTAATAGTCAAGATTTAGTAGCTCAGCGGAGGCAGGTCAAGGAAGGAAGCCTACACCATTTTAACGATCTCTTTTGTGTTAGCCTCAAAACCATGTAATATATTCTTTTATTCATAAGTAGAGGCCGTATGCAAATGCAAGAGATCTTGGAGTGTAGAAGACAATTAAAATAGCTAGAAATCCCAATAATTTTGTCTAAATTTCTGCATGTTTTCAAACACAATACTCCGATTTCGAGTTCTGGTTTGCTCTGTGTTAGCCTCAAAACCAAGCAACATATTCTTTTGTTTCATTGATAGCCCGAGAAAACGCATGGAATTTGAAAAGAAAAACAATGGAATTCATTTGAAATCTCACACTTTTATTCTCACAATTAGGAATATTTTGCGCACAAATAAGGCTAACACAGAGCATTGGAGAATTCGAAACTGGATTATTGACACTATAACACTGTTTTAAAAGAGATCGACGAAACTCAACTATAATGAGTTGGAATTAATATTTAATCCGGTAGTTGTCTTCACTAGACTGTGAAATGGTTTCTTAAGCAAAGTATAGCTACTACTAATGGATACTGTAGAAAACTCATAAACCTAAAAAAAACTTCTATTTTTTGGAATATGACGATAGAAATTATCAAACATCATACACTCTGTCCGAGCCAAAGGGACCCTTTTCCTCCGTTTTCATGCTCAGGCCCCTAACTCACCCTACTAGAGAGTTTTCTTGTGAATGTTATATAGTGGTATAGTTCAGCTATAAGCTAATTAATAACCAAAGACTCTTGGCCAATACTTTTTGCCTTTTTGTGTTTGAATATGATTATATGAAAAACGCTCTTTCGCGAGCGACTTGAAAGCGCTCCTACCAAAATTTCAGTCCGGCATATTCCTAAAATACTCTGATCTAAAAGTACCCTGCGAACAGAGTGTTATTTACATTACCTCAAAAAAGTTCGCGAATTTTTTACTGAGGTAAGGTAAATAACACTCTGTTCGCAGGGTAAGCTAAAAGCAAGCAGAAATAAAAAGCTTTCATCTGTGGAGATATTGGATTTAAGTGGTGATTTCCGTTTATGAAAAAAAAGACTTCAGACTAGTTGTTTTCTCTAAACCCGTGAAACAAAATAATATATAAAAAGGTCAAATTGATCAAGATGCAAAGAAATCAATGGATCAGAGAGTGACTAAGTTGTGAAAGTCTAATATCTCGGTTTCACGGGTTTATGGGACTAACTGCACGATCTATACCGCTATCAGATCGTCCGTATACAAGGCTCTTTTGTGCCTTCAGCCTGGGGGGTACCAGCAGGGGGCGTGGCTTCAATTGACTGACGCATCTAAAAAAAAATCTGTGACGAAATTAGAAAGATTCAATAGATTTTTGTGAACTTTTTTTCTGTTTCCAGGCTGAACTATGTTCTATTCAACTTGACTTTCTGTTTCACTGGCAAGCATGTTTCGAAACCTTTGAACTTTTTGCGAAATAGCCTGTGGCRATATCAAAGGAGAAGCGAAGAAGATTTTACTGAACATTTCTTCATTATTCCGCTCAAAGGCATATAGATGTGTATTCTAGGCCCGTAGGCTCGGGGGTGGAACTGCTCATACTAGCAGCCAGTTTTTACTCACTATACTGGGCATTGGACTTATTTAGTTAAACATTTAATTTAGGTCCGCTTTATGAAAAACGAAACCCCCACTTGTAAGGCACCATACTCCTACTATACGGGCCTGTATTCTATATTCAAGTTTCGATTTAAACTGCAACTTTCGCTACAACTGTTTAATTGCGAAATAATTTCAGGCTCAGTTAAGGACACATATGACGAAACTATAGGACCGTCCTTACATAAACGCCTCGTGACGACCAAACTGCTATTTATTGTGAAGTAAACGCTCTCCGTGACGASGCCTACACGTACCGCAAACGGCTATTTGTTGCAAACAGTTTATACACTTCATTTTGTCCACATRTGGACAGTAAACGTAAACGTGGCCTTTACGGCTAACAAACATGCACTGCGTCTCCTACTTCGACTTTCGCAATTCAGCACTCGTGCTGCCATGAAGGACGATTTACGCCCAACACCTTTTCCTTTTTTGCTTTTGATACTCGTGAGGTTGCGGAGATATGCGATTTAAGGATTTTTGCTTATCGAAGACACAATTGAGAAATATTCTAAAAACAACTTTCACCAAAAGATATTTAGAAATGGGTTTCCTGTGTTTATTTATCCCTCGAAGTGTTTTGTGGGTACTRGCAGCATGCATATCGACCAGCGGTTTTCCTAGAGATTTTAAAAGTTTTCTGACATTCGCACGTGAAGTGATTTTTCGCACGTAAAAAAATTGAATTCCTTTACTTAAAACTTAATTGAAAACCACAAAAACATGTCCACTGATAAATTATTACGATGCTACAACAAGGGTTGCGGAAAGGAGTTCAAAGAAGGCGRCGAAAGCGAAGGTTTGTAGTCAAATGCATCGAAATAAATCAACTTAGTGAAAGTAAAAGGACATGAACTTATTTTGTGGATATTTTTACGTGTTCTTATCAGCTGTTCTCAGTCGTTTGTTTCTTTTTGGTTTAGCTATATTTTTGTAAGCACACAGTATCCCAGTTCATTTTGCATGATTTAAATAACATACCAAATAGGGTGTTTTTATTGGCATTTAAAAATGAGCTGAAATCTAAACAAATCTGTTGTCAGCAATGWAAGGCATCTTAACCTCTTATTAGCAAACAAAACAATTGCATTTAGTAATAGTTAAATGTGAGCATTTTTATCCATTCGTTGGTTTATTTTTATGCCTAGTTATTTCCTCTTGCTCATTCATCCATCCATCATTCAAATCTCTGCACCTAAAGTTGTTGTTGTTGTTTTTTTGTTACCCATTTATCTATAATTCCATTTATCTGTTCCCTCTYCCATTCACTTATCCATTTATCCAATTTGTCTTTCATTCATCTTCTTCCATTAAGTGAAAAATCCAGTACATTTAAAAGGGGGGTGGCCACCCCAAGAAAAAGAATTCAAAGGATAGATTTAGGTCTACGTAAAATGAACTTTCTCTCAGATGAATGCTGCTTTAGTTGTTGTTTTTTTTTTTTTGTTTGTTTTTTTTCAGAATGATTGCCGATAATTTCCCATTATGTTCATCAATATAATAATTTTTATTTAAATTTTTGATCACTAGGAAGATCTCCCTAATCAACCAGTGAATCTGCCCTTTTATTTTCCATCAGTAGTCCACTTAAGATATTTTGGTTCGATGACTGTGTACACGAGGACACACGAGGCTACAGGAAAACAATGGATAATCTTGATTTATTCTTTTATTTCCTTTTATTCTTTTATTTTCCTGTAATTCAGTGTTTTTCTCTTGTATTGCACTGCGATAGGATTGTAATTAAATATATTATTGATATTGATATTCTCTAGAGCTTCGTCTGCAATTATTTTGTGCATGGTCACTGAACCAAAATATCTAAAGTCAGTGGCRGATCCAGGATTTTTCAAAGGGGGGCATTTTCCTACTGTAAAACAAACTTTTTTAAAGATGTAAAGATACCCACATTTCATTTATCATATATATTTTAATTTTTTATGCTCGAGGGGGGTTCCTAGGAACCCATGGAACCCCCTCTGGATCCGCCACTGAAAGTCGGCTATTGTAACAAAATCTTATTATATTTTTTTCAGATTGCTATCACCATCCAGGTGTTCCTGTTTTYCACGATGCTCTCAAAGTAAGCAAACATTTTTACACGCTCTGCACCCTCTAATTATAAAATTACAATTAGTACTAAATGATATGAATTTGGTTTTATTTTTTAATAGGGCTGGTCCTGCTGTAAGAAGAGAGTTACTGATTTTACTGAATTTCTTAACATTGCAGTATGTACTTTGTCATTTTAATGTAATATCCATTTAGTGCTGCATTTTTGCACTGAAAAAATTGAACTTTTGCTTAACAGTACAACCTCTTTATAGCCAGTCCCCACCCATCCCCCTGTGGGGAAACATTTTGTCCCTACAGGGGTGGTGTGGGGAACAACTGTACACAAGCTAATTTGTTTACTGCTTTATATAGATGGCAATGATGAAACTGTCAGGGGTCCTGAAAGCAGCCATAACATGTGGGCTGTGCTGACATGTCTGATGACAGCTTTGCACATTTGTAGATGATGTCACTGGCAGTCAGGATACGACAATTCTGAGCTACATTTTATTATTAGATTTTGACATTGATGATATGTATAATGATGATGACGATGATGATAAAATAAATATTAAATGATATCGATAAATTATAAAGAATGTAGCTATTAAAAAAATGTGTTGGAGAGAACAGCCATTCGCAATGTTTATTGCAGTGATGGCACTTTACATAATTTTGGAAGCTATTGAAAGTGATTATTGTAGTATAAATAAGACATATTGAATCCCCAGAAAGTGCCCTGATAGCACTCAGAATCATTTTGCACAGTTTATGTTAACATTTCATCATTTAATTTTCTTAGCCCTGTACAAAGTCCAAACACAGCAACATCAAACCCCCAGAACCTGTCAAGATAGAAGAAAAGCCTTTAGAGAAAGACGAGGTACTGTACTTGAATTAAACCATGATCACTTAAAATGTATGACATATAGAATATTTCAAGTGATATGTACATGTATCATTCTTGTGAAAGTTCTTTACATGTACATTGAGCCAAAAGTTTTGATATTCGAAGCCAAACGTTTTCAAGGCAAACAGGACTTGTTAACACCATTTATGTCATAAACTTTWCAACTCAAAGGTGTCTTTAACCAAAGATTGCTGTACTAGTTCTGTTGTTTTCCTTTTTTTTTTGTATTCACAGATAATTGAAGTGAGACAACCACTTAAAACATTAAAAGAACCGCAGCAAAGACCAAGGTATCTAGTCCATACTCCAAGGAATCGAATAGAACGTTTGACATTTGATGTTTGTTGTTACTCTGGTGGTACATGGCTCCCAATCATTAATATTATTGCACAGTAAATTTTGGTATATACTCTGTTCTTTGGCAGTTTTATACAGTGTGATTGTTGTCTACGATTTTCCAAGTAATTGMATTCTACYACAAGTTCATGTAGGTTATGTACAACTGTTATAGGCAAGTYGTTCAAGGATTTAATCGGCATGATTTGGAGCTCATTTGAGATCATATAATACAAGTCGCACATGACAATCATAGCATGTAAATCAGCCTTAAGTTTTCTTATAAAAATTGACAAAGGTTTTTCTTTCCAGTGATGATTTACCAAAAATCAAACTCAAAACTACAGTCACTCATTCCTTAAAGCAAGCACTTCTTAAACTCAAAGAACAGAGCGAGCAACAGAAATCTAAAGGTATTTTTACTGCTTGATAAAGGAGTGTATATTAATGAACTGGTGTAAAATTAGTTTCCATCAGTTTAAATACATTCTCTTATTATATAATTAATTTGTTGACTCATTAGTTCATCAGTTCATCAGTTCTTTTATTCATTTGTTCATCCCTGTATTTGTTCATCCATTTGTTCTTTCATCCATTTGCTCAAATCAAAACAAACTTTTTGCTTCTTTTGACAAGCCAACATTGCTGTCAAACATATAATAGCCAATGTTGCAGGCAGTAAAGTAAAACAGGTCTAATATGCCGGAAATTTGATGTGATAATACTATGCTTTTTAGAAGCTGATGATGACTCCGATACCATCAAACCAGGAACAATGTGTCATAATAATGCTTGCTCTACAGTAAGTCCACCATTTTTCAAAATACTTAAGAGCAAACTTTTTTTTTTCTCTCTCATTTTTTTTCCCTCAAAAATTTTTAAGTATGATATAGAGACACCAAACATTTTTTGTTTTGTACGTGTGTTTTTGGTGTATTTGTATGTTTTAATTTCCTTATTTTCCTGGATTGTGATCTTTTTGTCATTTGTGAAATTATCATTGTACTTTCCTTAAAAAAAATCTAGAGGGCCACATTACATGTGTTCCCTCCTTAAGTTGTAAAAAAAAAAAGAGCAAACTACCCAAATAACTCTGATACATTAAAACCCTCTCTTGTTGATAATTTTTAGACTTATAAAAATGAAAGTTCTAATGATGAGAAGTGCTGGTACCATCCTGGTACTCCTATYTTCCATGAAGGGTAAAAAATCATGTATTGAAATGAGATGTAAGAATAGTCTCCTTCACAGTTCCCTGCGCCATCTTGAAGGGTAGCCATGCTTTTACAATGAAGTGAGACAACTGTTGAGCAAGCCATGCAATGATAGATACCAGTGAATAAATGTCTCTAGGTGTCAAAGAAGGTTTCTATCATTGCATGCTCAATGGTCGTCTCAATTTGATGCAAAGGCACGGCTACCTTTCAAGATGCGCAGGCAACCATGATGGAGACTATTAAACTATATACAACCAACCAYGTAGAAAGCTGTGGGCACTCTTTGTCTTCAAGTGCAAGAGAATCCTAAGAAAATGGGCATAAGAAGTGTTTCTCTTCCTTCTCTTGTTTTTCRAAATAGCTGTATATTTGAGGACAGGCACAAACTACCTTGGGTTAWACATTTTATATTTATTGCCTTTCTTAATAGACCTTTTCTGAAATATAATATCATGGTGCATTGTGGTCTAGCTTCAGTACAAACAATGCCATATTTGGCAGCATTAATAAAAGATGTTTGTACCAAATCTGACCATAATGCAATGCAAACTGCTATCTCAGAAATAGCCTATTTGCGCATGAGAAACAGACAGTTCAGTTAACTCCCACATAATACAATAAAAAGTCAATGAGAGCGTATTCTGCGTAGTGCTCCAGGGAACGGAGGAAGAGGGAAGACAGAAAGGGAGGGGTAATTTTCCCRTCCACCACCTCTCACCTTCCATCCCCCCCTTCTTCCTCCTCTATAGCCGCTATGAAGGCTAATAAGAGCGTACTTTGTATCTCAAAAACAATAAATCTTAGATAATGCATTATTTCTGATCTAGATATAAATTTTGGACCTGCTGTCAGAAAAGAACATCTGATTTCAATGAGTTTTTAAAGCAAGAAGGTTGTACACCTGGTGCACATCGCTGGAAGCTCACAGAAGAGGTAATACAGTAAAAACCTGTGTATAAAGAACAATTGGATTAAGAACACCCAGGCCTGATTTTAGGAAATAAAGTACCATTTATATAARAACACATTCAGCCTGAACTGCCAAAATGGGTGTTAATATACGCGGGTTTTTACTTTAGTCTCCTTCACGGTTCCTTGTCCCATCTTGAAACATAGCCATGCCTTTGCATCATAGCGAGACAACCGTTGAGCGTGCAATGATAGAAACCTTCTTTCACACCTACAGACAATTATTCACAGATATCTATCATTGCATGCTAAATAGCTGTCTCACTTGTATGTAAAGGCACAGCTACCTTTCAAGATGCCACAGGGAACCGTGAAGGGACTATTGTACACAGCAAACAGTTATTATTAATTGTTTATTTGGTATTAGTATTAAATGTAGTGATGATTTACTTTCCAGGAAAAAAAGAAACTAGTAGTATGCAGGTAATTTTAAGAAAAATTAAAATATTTTCAAGATGATATTTAATATTTTTATTCTAAAAAGATATTTATTCAATCGCAGTTTGGGAGTTGTTTATTGACAGATTTCAGTTTGATTGGTTGATTGATAAATGATTATTTTAATGATCGATCTGTTGATTGATTGATTGATTGGTTGTATGATTGATTAGTTAATTGATTGGTTAGGTGGTTGATTGATTTGTTATTTAGTTGATTGATTGATAGGGTGCTTGGTTGATTAATTGGTTGGTTGATTGATTGGTTAAGTGATTGATTAATTGGTTAGCTGATTGATTGATTGAATGATTGCTAAACCATTTTGATTGGTTAATACTCCAGTTGCGAATTCTCTTTTGTGTAAGCTTAACCAAGGGCGCTAGAACTGAAATTATGACTTATAAGATCCAAAAATTGCTTAATTTATCCAACATAAGATAGTCGATAATAAATTGTAAAGTTTTACTTATCTGAAATATACACTGGTGTTCGGCCAGGGCAAAGTGATTTTAATCCGGTTAATGAATAACGTTCCTGGCGAGACAGCAGTGGCTGGTACAACAAGGACAGCGGTAATAAATTCAGCAACAACCGCTTGAGTAACGATCATTTGGATGAATTTCGTAAAATCAAGTGCTTTTTAGTGTCTAAGACGACATTTCAGTGTATATTTCAGATAAGTAAAACTTKACAATTTATTATCGACTATCTTATGTTGGATAAATTAAGCAATTTTTGGATCTTATAAGTCATAATTTCAGTTCTAGCGCCCTTGGCTTAACTTCAATCAAGCATAAATTTTTATTGTCTTTGTAGACAGAGTGTTTGCATAACAATAGAATCTCTGCTGAATTAAAGAATATATTACATGCTTTCGAGGTTAAGGCTGCACAAAAAGATCTCGAAACTGGAGTATTTTTACATATATAATGATTGATTGGTTGTTTAGCGCGTTATTTAATAAAAAATTGCTCATATCAATATTTATATAATGATATTTTTCTTAGATATGATTGGTATCAAATGGGAAACACTGTAGTTCTTTCCATTTATGCTAAAAACTGTGATCCAGAACAAACGACCATAGAAGCAAATCAAACTATTGTAAGTAAAAACGATAGTTTCCATCTTAGCCATCGCATATTCCCACTCTTTTCTTTATGTGAAGGCTCCACAATTCATTCAAATATTGATTCAAACTTTTTAGCTCAACGCWGACGTTATATTTGGAGAATCGAACTCATTTCAATTGAATATTAAACTTAACAAGGTAAGAAAATGCATTCGRTATTTATCATTACTGCAATTTAAAGTCAACTCTCGCCTTACGGACACCTCGCTACAACGGACACCTCGATATTGCGGACAGTAAAATATTGAATCCCAGGCGCAAAATACAAAGAAATGGCTGAAAGTAACTCCCGTTACTACTTTCGCTACTGCGGACACTAAATTGCGATCCCTAGGGTGTCCGTAATAGCGAGAGTTGACTGTATTCATCAAATGTTCAGCAACGCCATATTTTCCGCAACAAAGCACACTTTGTAACGATATTTTTGTTTCTTCTGTTGCTTTTAAAGCTCATAAATCCATCCAAAAGCTCAGTCACTTTATCTGCTACAAAAGTAGAGATAAAACTACAAAAGGCGGACATTGGTGCATGGAAAACACTTGAAATCACTGAAGACGAGGAAAATGACAAAATYGTTAAATAACACAAATGTTGTAAGAATTTTTTGTAGTTGGAATAGCCCGTAAGTATTAAGTTAAGCCACAAACCTTTATGGCACGAATAGAATTGCAAAAAGCGCGAATTTGTGTATGGAAAACATTTTAACGACGAACAAAATGACAAAATTCTTAAATCAAAAACTGAAATATTGTAAGAATTTTCTGTTGTATATTATCTTTACATTTATTACTAAATGTTATTCACTTTGATTATAAGGTTTTTTTGGTAAGAGATAAACATGCAAAAAACAGAAATTCGCGATGACAAACACTAAATTTAGGACTCAAATGTAAGAATTCTTTAATATCTGTTATTATATTATTACAAATAAATTTGTAAACCGGATGGTTGTCCAAAGTTAAAATTTATCCACTATAGGTTTTGTATGGGTGCTAACTGCTGGAAAAGAATTTATCCGATGTTTTCTTCCGAATTTAGATAGAAACCTTGTGGCGAACCGCTCCATGCCTCAAAGTTGAGCGGTTCCATTGATGTTATGTTCTTTGCCAGTCTGTATTGCTCTCAATGGTACAAAAACGAGTGCCGTTGATGTACATTCAGTCTATTACCGATGCGACTTATCTCACACAGCTTGGCGTACGCGACAAAATAGTACATACGCACCGTGTAATACTCTCCATTTTACAGTTCCAAGCTCCATCTTAAAAGGTAGCCGAGACTTTGCAACAAAGCGAGACAGAAGTTGAGCGTGCAATGATAGATACCTGTGAAAAATTCTCTTAGTTGTGAAACAAAAGGTATCTATCCGGTATCATTGTAGACTCAACTTCTGTCTCTCGCTCTGATGTAAAGGCTCAACTACCTTTCAAGATGGCGGCTGATTGTAAAATGGAGCATTTTAATTTTAATTTTAAAAGGGCTAGACATGTGCGACCTACAAATTGTCTCGAGCTTGTGAACAAAGGCTCATTTCAAGTGGTAGGCGACAAGCCGCATTGTGAAAATGGACCTTTACCAAGAACACGTTCGAAATTTTGTGTTGAGCATATTATTTAATGCATTTGTTATCATTATAATGAAGAAAACAATTGTCAGTGAAACTTGAAAAAACAGCATCCTCGGGAACCCAGGGGTAATCTTCTGTCGTTCGTTCCTCACTCAGAAGATTACCCCTGGGTTCCCGAGGATGGAAAAACAGTTGTATTTGTGGATCTAGCAAAAAAATGTGTTATTTTTTTGATCAAAAAGAGACCATTGCGTTTTTACATGTAGATTAAATAATAWAAGCAATTTACACCTGAAAAAGAAATAAAAGAATGTCTTTTAAATATCCTGGACTACCCTGTCTAACTCATTGATTATAGACTCGGGCATACCCCACCTAAATGGAAATTCCTCTTAGCGGATGAACGTTTCACAGCTCCTTAAAGAGAAACATTTYATTCATATTCTCATTTTACATGAGTTTGTTGATGCATCTTAAAAGCRTTGCTATGCAYGAACATTCTCTCGCAATCTTGACATTTAAAACGTCTTTCATTTTTGTGTGAATGATTTTCAAACTTGCTTTGTCGACCAAACCATGTCTTAC